GCTGAGAGCAGTGAGGGCAGTGAGAGCAGTGAGAGCAGTGAGAGCAGTGAGGGCAGTGAGAGCAGTGAGAGCAGCTGAGAGCAGTGAGAGCAGTGAGAGCAGCTGAGAGCATTGAGAGCAGCTGAGAGCAGTGAGGGCAGTGAGAGCAGTGAGGGCAGTGGGAGCAGTGAGGGCCGTGAGAGCAGTGAGAGCAGCTGAGAGCAGTGAGAGCAGCTGAGAGCATTGAGAGCAGCTGACAGCAGTGAGGGCAGTGAGAGCAGTGAGAGCAGCTGAGAGCAGTGAGAGCAGTGAGGGCAGTGAGAGCAGCTGAGAGCAGTGAGAGCAGCTGAGAGCAGCTGAGAGCATTGAGAGCAGCTGAGAGCAGTGAGGGCAGTGAGAGCAGTGAGGGCAGTGAGAGCAGTGAGAGCAGTGAGAGCAGTGAGAGCAGCTGAGAGCAGTGAGAGCAGCTGAGAGCAGTGAGAGCAGCTGAGAGCAGTGAGAGCAGTGAGAGCAGCTGAGAGCATTGAGAGCAGCTGAGAGCAGTGAGGGCAGTGAGAGCAGTGAGGGCAGTGAGAGCAGTGAGAGCAGTGAGAGCAGTGAGAGCAGTGAGAGCATTGAGAGCAGCTGAGAGCATTGAGAGCAGCTGAGAGCATTGAGAGCAGCTGAGAGCAGTGAGGGCAGTGAGAGCAGTGAGGGCAGTGAGAGCAGTGAGAGCAGCTGAGAGCAGTGAGAGCAGCTGAGAGCATTGAGAGCAGCTGAGAGCAGTGAGGGCAGTGAGAGCAGTGAGAGCAGTGAGAGCAGTGAGAGCAGTGAGAGCATTGAGAGCAGTGAGAGCATTGAGAGCAGCTGAGAGCATTGAGAGCAGCTGAGAGCAGTGAGAGCAGTGAGAGCAGTGAGAGCAGTGAGAGCAGTGAGGGCAGTGAGAGCAGTGAGAGCAGCTGAGAGCAGTGAGAGCAGTGAGAGCAGCTGAGAGCATTGAGAGCAGCTGAGAGCAGTGAGGGCAGTGAGAGCAGTGAGAGCAGTGAGAGCAATGAGGGCAGTGAGAGCAGTGAGGGCAGTGAGAGCAGTGAGAGCAGCTGAGAGCAGTGAGAGCAGCTGAGAGCATTGAGAGCAGCTGAGAGCAGTGAGGGCAGTGAGAGCAGTGAGAGCAGTGAGAGCAGTGAGAGCAGTGAGAGCATTGAGAGCAGTGAGAGCATTGAGAGCAGCTGAGAGCATTGAGAGCAGCTGAGAGCAGTGAGAGCAGTGAGAGCAGTGAGAGCAGTGAGAGCAGTGAGAGCAGTGAGAGCAGTGAGAGCAGCTGAGAGCAGTGAGAGCAGTGAGAGCAGCTGAGAGCATTGAGAGCAGCTGAGAGCAGTGAGGGCAGTGAGAGCAGTGAGGGCAGTGAGAGCAGTGAGGGCAGTGAGAGCAGTGAGAGCAGCTGAGAGCAGTGAGAGCAGCTGATAGCATTGAGAGCAGCTGAGAGCAGTGAGGGCAGTGAGAGCAGTGAGAGCAGCTGAGAGCAGTGAGAGCAGTGAGGGCAGTGAGAGCAGCTGAGAGCAGTGAGAGCAGCTGAGAGCAGCTGAGAGCATTGAGAGCAGCTGAGAGCAGTGAGGGCAGTGAGAGCAGTGAGGGCAGTGAGAGCAGTGAGAGCAGTGAGAGCACTGAGAGCAGCTGAGAGCAGTGAGAGCAGCTGAGAGCAGTGAGAGCAGCTGAGAGCAGTGAGAGCAGTGAGAGCAGCTGAGAGCATTGAGAGCAGCTGAGAGCAGTGAGGGCAGTGAGAGCAGTGAGGGCAGTGAGAGCAGTGAGAGCAGTGAGAGCAGTGAGAGCATTGAGAGCAGTGAGAGCATTGAGAGCAGCTGAGAGCATTGAGAGCAGCTGAGAGCAGTGAGGGCAGTGAGAGCAGTGAGAGCAGTGAGAGCAGTGAGGGCAGTGAGAGCAGTGAGAGCAGCTGAGAGCAGTGAGAGCAGTGAGAGCAGCTGAGAGCATTGAGAGCAGCTGAGAGCAGTGAGGGCAGTGAGAGCAGTGAGGGCAGTGAGAGCAGTGAGGGCAGTGAGAGCAGTGAGGGCAGTGAGAGCAGTGAGAGCAGCTGAGAGCAGTGAGAGCAGCTGAGAGCATTGAGAGCAGCTGAGAGCAGTGAGGGCAGTGAGAGCAGTGAGAGCAGTGAGAGCAGTGAGAGCAGTGAGAGCATTGAGAGCAGTGAGAGCATTGAGAGCAGCTGAGAGCAGTGAGGGCAGTGAGAGCAGTGAGAGCAGTGAGAGCAGTGAGAGCAGTGAGAGCATTGAGAGCAGTGAGAGCATTGAGAGCAGCTGAGAGCATTGAGAGCAGCTGAGAGCAGTGAGGGCAGTGAGAGCAGTGAGAGCAGTGAGAGCAGTGAGGGCAGTGAGAGCAGTGAGGGCAGTGAGAGCAGTGAGAGCAGTGAGGGCAGTGAGAGCAGTGAGAGCAGTGAGAGCAGTGAGAGCAGCTGAGAGCAGTGAGAGCAGTGAGAGCAGCTGAGAGCATTGAGAGCAGCTGAGAGCAGTGAGGGCAGTGAGAGCAGTGAGGGCAGTGAGAGCAGTGAGGGCAGTGAGAGCAGTGAGAGCAGCTGAGAGCAGTGAGAGCAGCTGAGAGCAGTGAGGGCAGTGAGAGCAGTGAGAGCAGTGAGAGCAGTGAGAGCAGTGAGAGCATTGAGAGCAGTGAGAGCATTGAGAGCAGCTGAGAGCATTGAGAGCAGCTGAGAGCAGTGAGGGCAGTGAGAGCAGTGAGAGCAGTGAGAGCAGTGAGGGCAGTGAGAGCAGTGAGAGCAGCTGAGAGCAGTGAGAGCAGTGAGAGCAGCTGAGAGCATTGAGAGCAGCTGAGAGCAGTGAGGGCAGTGAGAGCAGTGTGGGCAGTGAGAGCAGTGAGGGCAGTGAGAGCAGTGAGAGCAGCTGAGAGCAGTGAGAGCAGCTGAGAGCATTGAGAGCAGCTGAGAGCAGTGAGGGCAGTGAGAGCAGTGAGAGCAGCTGAGAGCAGTGAGAGCAGTGAGGGCAGTGAGAGCAGCTGAGAGCAGTGAGAGCAGCTGAGAGCAGCTGAGAGCATTGAGAGCAGCTGAGAGCAGTGAGGGCAGTGAGAGCAGTGAGGGCAGTGAGAGCAGTGAGAGCAGTGAGAGCAGTGAGAGCAGCTGAGAGCAGTGAGAGCAGCTGAGAGCAGTGAGAGCAGCTGAGAGCAGTGAGAGCAGTGAGAGCAGCTGAGAGCATTGAGAGCAGCTGAGAGCAGTGAGGGCAGTGAGAGCAGTGAGGGCAGTGAGAGCAGTGAGAGCAGTGAGAGCAGTGAGAGCATTGAGAGCAGTGAGAGCATTGAGAGCAGCTGAGAGCATTGAGAGCAGCTGAGAGCAGTGAGGGCAGTGAGAGCAGTGAGAGCAGTGAGAGCAGTGAGGGCAGTGAGAGCAGTGAGAGCAGCTGAGAGCAGTGAGAGCAGTGAGAGCAGCTGAGAGCATTGAGAGCAGCTGAGAGCAGTGAGGGCAGTGAGAGCAGTGAGGGCAGTGAGAGCAGTGAGGGCAGTGAGAGCAGTGAGGGCAGTGAGAGCAGTGAGAGCAGCTGAGAGCAGTGAGAGCAGCTGAGAGCATTGAGAGCAGCTGAGAGCAGTGAGGGCAGTGAGAGCAGTGAGAGCAGTGAGAGCAGTGAGAGCAGTGAGAGCATTGAGAGCAGTGAGAGCATTGAGAGCAGCTGAGAGCATTGAGAGCAGCTGAGAGCAGTGAGGGCAGTGAGAGCAGTGAGAGCAGTGAGAGCAGTGAGGGCAGTGAGAGCAGTGAGAGCAGCTGAGAGCAGTGAGAGCAGCTGAGAGCAGTGAGAGCAGCTGAGAGCAGTGAGAGCAGTGAGAGCAGCTGAGAGCATTGAGAGCAGCTGAGAGCAGTGAGGGCAGTGAGAGCAGTGAGGGCAGTGAGAGCAGTGAGGGCAGTGAGAGCAGTGAGGGCAGTGAGAGCAGTGAGAGCAGCTGAGAGCAGTGAGAGCAGCTGAGAGCATTGAGAGCAGCTGAGAGCAGTGAGGGCAGTGAGAGCAGTGAGAGCAGTGAGAGCAGTGAGAGCAGTGAGAGCATTGAGAGCAGTGAGAGCATTGAGAGCAGCTGAGAGCATTGAGAGCAGCTGAGAGCAGTGAGGGCAGTGAGAGCAGTGAGAGCAGTGAGAGCAGTGAGGGCAGTGAGAGCAGTGAGAGCAGCTGAGAGCAGTGAGAGCAGTGAGAGCAGCTGAGAGCATTGAGAGCAGCTGAGAGCAGTGAGGGCAGTGAGAGCAGTGAGGGCAGTGAGAGCAGTGAGGGCAGTGAGAGCAGTGAGAGCAGCTGAGAGCAGTGAGAGCAGCTGAGAGCATTGAGAGCAGCTGAGAGCAGTGAGGGCAGTGAGAGCAGTGAGAGCAGTGAGAGCAGTGAGAGCAGTGAGAGCAGTGAGGGCAGTGAGAGCAGCTGAGAGCAGTGAGAGCAGCTGAGAGCATTGAGAGCAGCTGAGAGCAGTGAGGGCAGTGAGAGCAGTGAGAGCAGTGAGAGCAGTGAGAGCAGTGAGAGCAGTGAGAGCAGTGAGAGCAGTGAGAGCAGTGAGAGCAGCTGAGAGCAGTGAGAGCAGCTGAGAGCATTGAGAGCAGCTGAGAGCAGTGAGGGCAGTGAGAGCAGTGAGGGCAGTGAGAGCAGTGAGGGCAGTGAGAGCAGTGAGAGCAGCTGAGAGCAGTGAGAGCAGCTGAGAGCATTGAGAGCAGCTGAGAGCAGTGAGGGCAGTGAGAGCAGTGAGAGCAGTGAGAGCAGTGAGAGCAGTGAGAGCAGTGAGGGCAGTGAGAGCAGTGAGAGCAGCTGAGAGCAGTGAGAGCAGCTGAGAGCATTGAGAGCAGCTGAGAGCAGTGAGGGCAGTGAGAGCAGTGAGGGCAGTGAGAGCAGTGAGGGCAGTGAGAGCAGTGAGAGCAGCTGAGAGCAGTGAGAGCAGCTGAGAGCATTGAGAGCAGCTGAGAGCAGTGAGAGCAGCTGAGAGCAGTGAGGGCAGTGAGAGCAGTGAGGGCAGTGAGGGCAGTGAGAGCAGCTCTCTCAACACTCGCAGACCTCAGCACTCACAGCTCGTGGAAGAAGAGGTCCATCATCATGGTCTTGCCCGTGCCCACACCGCCCCACAGGTACAGCCCCCTCATGGGCGGGTGGCTCTGCGGCTTGCGCATGAACAGCGACCAGAAGGCTGGCCGCCGCTTCCTCCTGCCCGGTGTTGGGGAGTGTATGGGGATGGTTAGGGTTCAGAAAGGCTATAAAGAACTATGGGGAGAAGCCCCAGGGATTGGTTCAGGGGCTTGGTCATGAAGAACGACCAGAAGGCAGGCCGTTGTGTCCTCCTGCCGGGTGTTGACAAGAGGGTTGCGCGAGGGGGGGGGATGACCACGAGAAAGAACAACATGTGAATTGCACGCTTTTGTGATGGTAGAGAATTGGAGAACCGAGCACGCCAGAGAGAAGGAGGGGAGGGAGAGAACGGGGGGGAAGAGAGGAGGGGGGGAAGAGAGGAGGGGGGGAAGAGAAGGTGGGGGGAAGGGGAGGGAAGTGGGGGACAGTGGGGGAAAAGGGAGGGAAAAGAGAGTAGTGGGAGGCGGAGTGGTGGAAAAGGGAAGCGGCGGCATGACCATTTTTGCAGTTGGATTGGAACTCGAGGTGGGCTCCAAAGCCAATCAGCACAACGTGCAGCTTCTGGAGCGTCCCCACGGTTTCGTCCTGAAACGGAACTCTCATTCCCGAAACGCATCACCCTTTCCCAGCTCCCTTATCTGCTCTCTCTCTGAATGTTCCCAAAAAGTCTACCAACTAGGCGGTGCGCTGCGCTTGCACTTACTTCTGCACTTGGAACTCCAGGTGACCTCCGTGCCGATCAGCACGTCGAACAGCTTCTGCAGCGTCCCCACCGTTTCGTCCTGAAACGGATCAAATCCCCTGTTTGCAGCTCCCCGAGCTGCTTTCTGAGAGTTCCCAGACACCAACCAACCAACTAGATGCTTGCACTTATTTTTGCAACTGGAACTCGGGGTGGCCTCCGAAGCCAATCAGCACGTCGAACAGCTTCTGCAGCATCGCCACAGTTTCGTCCTAAAATGGATCTTCCATTCATGAAATTGGTCACCCTTGGCAGCTCCCCCAAATCCTCTCTGAAGTTCCTCAACAACCAACTAGGCACTTACTTTTGGAGTTGGAACTCGGGGTGGCCTCCGAATCCGATCAGCACGTCGTAGAGCTTCTGCAGCGTCCCCACGGTTTCGTCCTGAAACGGGTCGCCCGTTCGCAGCTCCCCCAGTTGCTTCCGCCGCTCGTACTCGCCTTGCGGACCCGCTCGGAAGACCTTGACTGCCAGGTAGGGATACATGACAATGTGTGTCCTCACATGGTTTTTATATATATGTAAATTCTCATTTTGTGTTTCGTGCAGTGTCCTTTCAGAATGTGCAGCTTCTTGAATGAATCGTGTCAATGGCGCTTCTCCCTTCAATAAAGTACGGCTCATTTTGTGTTTCGTGCAGTGTCCTTTCAGATGTGCAGCTTCTTGAATGAATCGTGTCAATGGCGCTTCTCCCTTCAATAAAGTACGGCTGAAAGTGGAAATGCGTGGGCATCATGTATCCGTAAGAGATTTATCCATCGTGTGCGTCATACCTTCAGGAGCTGAGGCCGGATCGCCAGACAACGCTGCGGAGCTCCAGAATCTCTGCTGATTGAACCCGTTATAAGACCACCGTTGATTCGACCCGTTATAAGACCATTGCTGACTCAACCCGTTAAGAGCGCACTCCGGTACAACTACTGCTGCACTTGCTCTACGGTCAGACAAGCTTGCCGGTACTAAGCTTCTCGTATGTCGCACTGTACAAGCTGAATGTTGACTCCATTCTCGCAGAGCTTCTGGTCCGGCTATTGCTCTCTGGTCGGCGAGAATCAGCCTCCGGGGGAACGTTATGCCCTCTATCAGCCTAGCTAATCTCCGAAATCTGGACATGCCTGTTATAACGCAGGTCTTAATTGCGCTTTAGTCCTGCGGTGGAGCCTGGTTTCGGTCTGTCGTTTCAACTGATGCCTGATCACTATTGCGGTGATCCAAGATCCAACGGCTGATCTAGCAGCTTCATGACTGATCAGCCAGCGTTGTTCCCCGTAGCCCACAACCTATCCTAACGAGCAGCATGAAAGTAACGGGTCGATGGATGACCGTCAGCGGCGTCAGAAATTACGAGCTTCACAAACACTTAGCTAAAAAAAACGTTTATAATAGCGGAACGGATGTGGTGCGATGGCATCTGTGTACAGTGCGAATCCGCAATGCGGAGCAGTTGTGAGTGCGTTACAATGAACGACGCAGCTGTGAACGAGCCGTGGAAGCACGGAGCGACAATGTATGTGACGAGTGATGTTATTGCGGCCTGACAGACGACGGTATGAGAAACTCGCCAGTCCTAGGCTCAAAAAGCTCAATCAAGCTCGCGCAAGCCCCATGGTCCGTCACAAAACGAGCGTCAGGAAGACTTGGCGCTTGTGAATCAGAACTAGCTGCAATTACTATGGCTCCAGGTGATTCACAAAACAGCATTCCACCATAAAGCTTGTAACTTCAGATTCAGGGCGACGGGAAAGGGGCAGTTGTTGGCGGGAAACAATTCCCTTTGGTCAAGTCGGCGGATGACGTGGATGCAAGAGCCCATGTGACGCAAGCACCGAATCAGCAATAGGCTGCAAAATGTCAGCACACCTCCTGGTTGGCTGGAGCCCCTTCAACGAAGCTGCCCAGCCGAGCCCCCAACATCCAAGAATTCAAACTTGATAATTACACCGTAAACGTTTGCCATTATTTCAATGCAACGCATATTTGAAACGCAAAGAAGTCATTGAAAACAGATTCAGTATAATATAGACTCGCAGAAAAATAGCCGGAAAACAAATTATTGTGTGATTTATCAATGAGAATTCATCATTAAACATGGCGAAATGTTCACTATGCATGGGAACGGGACTTGTATGTATTATATTCCACTTCATTGGTTTAAGGGTCTACACTCTTTGCTTATAGCAGATGCGCCACTCATGCAGCGTTCTCTTGAATTCTCTGGACTGTTGTCGAGCCAGTAGGTTGACGAGTCAAACACGCCCAGTCAGCTATTCTCAAGGTTGCGATGACGAGGGTCAGCGCACTTCTGAATCCGTCGTCAAGCAATTTCTCCGATTCAGGATCGCAGCGCTCGCAGAGAGTTATCAGAAGGTTTGCGAGTTTCGCGAGCTCGGTTTGGAGTCTTTCGCCCACGTTTGTCTCCCGAACGACTTGTTATGCGCTGTCGCCGGTGTTCGCTGTGCGATTTCTCTCCATCAGTTTTGCAGAGGGGCACTCCACGTAGATAAATTGAACGGAATGCGGAAATCATAACACAACACAAGAGACAGCAGCAGACATTCTACGGCTACTATATTGCTTGCTGCACATTTTTCCTACGAAAAGGCGTGACACTTGCTTCGCTGATTTTGTTCAGCGGCTACTCTCCCTTCGCAATGCATCGACGCAAGGCGATAGCGCCTGCTAGTATAGCAGACAGCAGCGGCGTGATTCTTCTACTGCTGCTGGGCTCTGCGTTGCTCTGCTTCCCAAGCGCCACAGACGGCGCGAGACACAAGACGCTTCGGTCGCAGGGAGTGGTATCGAGCAGCCGGACCATAGCGCACACGATATGGACGTCAGGAAGCACGATTCTTCGTGGCAATATCAACGCCGGTAAAAGGAGCAACACTGGCAGCACTACAGTTCCTGCCACTACTGGTGCTACAACCGCCGCTGCTGGCTCAGCGGCTGCTACAGCCGCGGCGGCGGGCGCGGGGTGCGCGGCGTCGGCGCTGGAGGGGTTTGCGTGGTCGGCGGCGCTGGGGTCCACTGGACTCACGTTGCATTGGCGCGTAGTGGACTCGTCGTGCCTCGCCTTGGCGCTAGAAGCGGCGGGCGGCAGCGCGGCAGCGGCGGGGTGGTTCGCCGTGGGGTGGTCGGCGACGGGCCGCATGGCGGCGTCCGACGCCGTGGTGGGCAATCTGGCGGGCGGCGCCGCCGTCCAGGCGGTGTACATGAGCGGCACGGCGCAAAGTGACGTTCAGCCCACAAGCAACTTCGATATCGGCAACGCGCAGCTCGCCACGTCACCCTCGGGATCCACCATTCTCAAGTACGTCGGGGCGCGTGTGAGATGTTGCGGCTTTTTGTTGTCGGTTATGTCAGGAAAATCAACTTTGCAAAAATGAGGCTCAGGGTTTCGGGTTCAGGGTAAGTTTTTTTTTTTTTTTTTTGCTTACATCTTTTCCTCTCAGAGGCTCGGACCCACACACTCATTACTATCCCCTCCCCTCTCACACCTCCTTCCCTCAAACAGGTTCAACCGCTCTGCAGGTGACGGCTCGGTGCCGGTGAGCGTGCAGGGCAGCAACACACTCGTGTGGGCGCACTCCCCCGATGGCTCGCAGTCCCTCGGCTTCCACGCCGGATATGAGTGAGTGTTCCAGTCCAGAAAGGGTGAGAGAGCGAGTGCAGATCCATTATGTTCCAAGCCAGCGATGAGTGAGTGCAGTCCTTGTTGAAGGTGGTTGGCTAACCATGACCTAGAACGACCTAACGCGATCTACATCGACCTAAGAAGAATTCGGTTTGACGAGCTGTGACTAAGGGAAAGCGAGGACCTAAGAAGAAGAGGAGCTACCTATGTTGGGACGGTGGAAGGAGAAACACGGTAGCGGCGCGACCTGCAGTGGGAATCGAAGAGAAGGAGGGGAAGTGTGCAGAAATGGAGAAGAAAACAGCTGAAATGTCGAGATTCCAAGCGACGTGAAGAGAAGTCACGCCGGGTCAAAGGCGCGTCCAAGGAAGTCTGATTCGAACTCGAGGCGCGTTCGGTGCATGGTTGGATTTGGAAATTGAGCCGAGTACAACTCAGCTCGAAATTAGGCGCGGCGCGAGGGCGAAATCAGAAATCCTTTTGCTTATAACTTGCTTTGTGTTTTCTGTTTTTGCATGCCTTCTTCAATGAAATTACTTGAACTTTCTGCCTTGGCGTTTTCCAGCAAATTCCTTCACACAGTTGGGGCCAGAGCTTCATATGCTTGTTACTAAGACTCTAAATAGTCTTCATGGTCTAGACTAAAGGCTGCGCACGTACGAGAGCTGGTATCAGAGCTGGTTTAAGGCGTGTTCTAGCGTTTTAAGGATAGGCGGAATTTACTAAGTATGACGGGCGATCATACTGAGGCGAGTTCGGGCTCCTCTGTGAGCATTGGAGGCTCAGAACTACAGGCCATCCTAACAGCGCTAGCACAAGCTAAATTGACGGCGAAGCCAACGATTGGGCTTAGCGAGGCCCAACGATTCCATGGAGAAAATTATAGCACGTGGCGACTCAAGTTCATTCGTAGAGCGGAGGAAGTGGATCTCTGGCCGTATTATCATCCCGACAAGGAAACGGGAGAGGGCGTCCCACCATCTGCAAAAGAAAAACCAGAAGAAAACGCGTCATTCAAAAAAAGGAGTAAGCAAGTTTTTTTCCAATTGTGTCATTCAGTTTCGGACAGCATTGCAGTGGGGCTGGATCAATTTGCTGGAGAGGAGAACTCTGCCGAACGAGCCTGGGAGTACATGGAAGCTGCTTACCTTGGACTTACGGATACCAACAAAGCCGCCATTCGGAAGAAACTTCTCCTATTGAATATGGAGCCGAGGGAGAGGGTCATTGACTACATAAATCGAGCAAAGGGGTACAATGACGACCTCAAGGCTATGGGGGCAGCTGAAACTGAAGGAGAAATGATGGGGTACATCATTAGTGGGCTGCCCAAGGAGTGGGAAGCAGAGATAGGGCTCCTAACCTGCAACCCACCCGCAAATATGACCAAGCTGTTGGAGACGCTCCAAGCTCTGGAGCGGGTGAAAGCTGATCGGCTCAGGAAGGAGGTTAGCTTGAATGGAATGGGACCAGCCACACATGCTATGGTAAACGCAGCAGCAACAGGGAAAGGATATGGAGGTTTCGGGGCGTGTTTTCAGTGTGGAAAGAAGGGTCATAAGCAGATAGACTGCTATGATAACCCAAGGAGCAGAAATTTCAAGGGGAAATGGAGCGGTCCGCAGCAGAAGGGGCTGCAGAACGGATGGCAGCAGAGAGAGGGGGAGGTTCGAGGTGATAACAAGATGCAGAGAGGCGGATTTTCAGGGGCATGTCACTATTGCCAGAAAATTGGGCATAGGGCAGCCAACTGCTACTCGAACCCCAACAGCAGGAACTACCAAGGAGCAAACCAGCAGCAAATCAAACCAGCAGCAGCAAAAGCAAATGCAGTGGAAGCTGAAAACAGTGAAGCGGACGTCATCTTGGGAGGAGCTCACAAGGCAAACGTGGCAAGGGCATCGGGGGTGTGTTTGGTGGCAAAGGGGTTCGGTGAAGCAGCGTGGTTCATGGACAGTGGGTGCACTCAGCACATGACCAATCACTGCGAGTGGCTTACAAATCTGAGGGACTCCAACGTACCGTATGTGCTCTTGGGGGATGAAGGGAAGCTGATTGTGAAGGGGGAAGGAGAGTTGCTACTCCAAGGAGAGTACGGGGAGCTGAAGCTGGAAAATGTTCTCTTAGTGGAGAAGCTCTCACTGAATCTGATCAGCCAGTCTCAACTTGACAGCACGGGGTGCAAAACCTTCAGCGACAAAGGAAAGTTGTGGGTTTTCAATGAGGATTGGAAGGTGGTTGCAGAAGGGAACAGAAATCAGGGGTTGTATGAAATGAAGCTAAGGAAGAAGGGGCTGGAGGATGAGAATGCCACCTACCTGACATCACTCGAAGGGGACCTAGCTAGGGAGGAGTTGAAGGCTCGGCTTGGTGGCTTACCTGTGAAGGAGCTGCAGCAGGAAGCTTCTGCCATGGTGGTTGGGATGGAGCAGGTGGAATTGGAGACCTTGCACAGGCGCATGGGGCATGCAAGCATGGATAGGGTCAAGGAGTTGGTCAAAAAGGGCATGGTAAAAGGTGTGGCACTGAAGGAGGGGGCTGGAAGCAAGGGAAAATGCAGCAAGTGTGTTGAAGGTAAAATCACAAAGTCCCCTCACCCCCACCACCAGGTACATGAGCCTTATGGCACCTTGGACATCGTAGCAGCCGATGTGTGTGGGCCTATGAGGGTGGCGTCACGACACGGCAGCCGCTACTTCGTTACCTTCACTGATTTGGGAACGAGGCACACATGGGTGACGGAGCTGAAAGATAAGGCAGAAGTGTTTCCTAGCTTCGTGACTTGGATGGCGGAAGCGGAACGGCAAAGTGGGAAGGTGCTGAAAGTTTTAAGGACAGATAATGGAGGGGAGTTTACCGGTGAGCTGTTCAACAAGTTTTTACAGAGCAAGGGTATCCGACGGCAGCTGACTGTACCCTACACTCCACAGCATAACAGCATAGCGGAGCGAGTGAATCGGTCTCTACTAGACAGCGTGAGGAGCATGCTGGCTGACAGTGGGTTGCCGCTGAAATTTTGGGGTGATGCATTAGCTATGGCGTGCTGGTCCAAGAACCGGCTACCTACCAAGGGACTTCGGGCAGATATGACTCCCCACGAGGCCTTCTATGGCAGGAAGCCGAATCTGGGGTTCGCTCGGGTGTGGGGAAGTATGGTGCAATACAGGGAGCCAGCCGGTCCGGATCATAAGTTGCTGCCCAAGGCTCATTGGGGGATTAACCTCGGTACCTGCCCGGTGAGCAAGGGGTGGGTGATCAAGGATGTAATTTCAGGGAAGGTCATGATCACCCGGGATGTTGTCTTCTACGAGGAGGTGAACTACCTGCAGTGGAAGGGAGTAGAGAAAGAGATTGCAGCAGCAGGGACAGCAATTGCACCGGACAAGGTGGACGATCTTTTGGAAGAAAAGGAGAGTGAGGGAGTTGGTGATGAAGGAGATGAGGAACTCGAAGATGTGGAACGGGCAGATTCAGTTGATTGGGTGTGGGAGAAGGCACCAACCAGGGAAGCGGATGAAAGCAAGGTAGTGGAGATAGCAGGGGAGCAGCCAAGCAAAGAAGTAGCTGAGGATGGCATTGATGAAGTGGCTGAAGAAGAGGGAGATGAAGAATCAGCAGCTGAAGGAGATAGTGATCCTTGGAAGCTTCTAAACAGTGATGACAACAATGCCAAGATGAGGGAGATAGAGGAATTACTTGAGGAGGGCGCCATCGTGATTGGAAGGGAAGTGAAGAATGGAGAAGGGAAAGCACTGGCGGATTCCAGTGAGGATGAGGTCGAGTCACCTGCAGAGGAGTTGGGGAAAGGAAAGAGGGTGAAGAAACCAAACCCTCGGTATGCGCAACTGCTGATGACGTGCTGGAAGGACATCCATACCCACCTCCTACTCTCTGCCACAGCTACTGACCTAGTCTCCAATGAAGGAAAAGTGACACACAACCTGCCCAAAGAACCAGTGAGCATCGAGGAGGCGCTAGAGGGTCCAGAAAGGGAGCAGTGGAAAGCGGCAATTGAGGAGGAGTTGAACACATTGGCTGAAAGGGGCACATGGGAGCTCGTGCCTATGCCAGAAGGAAGGAAAGCCGTGGGGGTGAAGTGGATTTTTAAGATCAAGACCGGAGATATGGGGCAGCTGGAAAGGTTCAAAGCAAGGCTCGTAGCCAAGGGCTACACTCAGGTGGAGGGGAAAGACTACAACAAGAACGAAATCTATGCTCCAGTGAGCAAGTTGACAACGGCACGGGTCTTTCTCAAGGTGGTAGCAGCAAGGAAATATTAAAAACGCGTTTTTGTATGGGGTGCTGAAGGAGGACATCTACCTCGAGCAACCACCAGGGCATGACGATGGCTCGAGCAGAAAATGCAAGCTCAACAAGGCATTATATGGGCTGAAGCAAAGTCCTAGGGAGTGGTATATGGCGATGGATGAGCGGCTACTGCAAGGGGGATTTGAGAAAAGTGAGTGTGATAGGGCATTCTACTGGAAGGGAGAAGGGAAGAAGAAGGTGTTCTTGGTGCTATACGTGGACGACATCTTAGTGGCAGGGGCGTTAGAGGAGGAGGTAGAGAAGGTGTGCACTCACCTTGCGGAAGTGTTTCAAGTGAAGCAAATTCCACGGACCACACTCTTTCTCGGCATGAATCTGGAGCGGCGTAAGGAGGAGAGCAAGATGTTTCTGTACCAGCAGAAATATTGCAGCAGGGTGCAGCAGAGGTTTGGCAACGGCTACACGAAGGCGATTTCTACACCATTGAGTGGGGTAGCTGAAAACGACGGTGAACGAGAGGAAGATGTCAACCAATGGGGTAGTAATTAGAGGGCTCTACAGGTATACCAGTCCATGGTGGGGTCCATAATGTATCCGGTCTCATGCACGCGTGTCGATATGGCATACGCAGCTAGCTATCTTGGGCAACAAGTGCAGCAGCAAGGGGAGAGAAAATGGAGAGAGATGAGGAGGACTATCGACTACCTACTGCAACATGAAGATGAGGGACTGTTATTCGAAGGAGGTGAAGAGACCTTGGAGTTAGTGGGGTATGCGGATGCTTCACACGCATCCGACAAGAAAACAAGGAAGGGAGCATACGGTTACGTGTTTCTGCTCGGCGGGACAGCAATCATGTGGCAAGCAAAAAAGTTGGCTGACATATCGCTCTCTAGTGCGGAAGCGGAGTACATGGCTCTGTTTTACGCATGCCAAGAGGGGGTTTGGCTGAGAAGGCTACTCAAGGAGATGGAAATAAAGGTGGAAGGACCTACGGTGATTCGCTCGGACAGCAAATCTGCAATCGATTTGGCTCATAACGACAATTGGCACGGCAGGACCAAGCATATGGACGTGAAGTATCATTGGGTGCGTTCAAAGGTGAGTAGCAAAGAGTTTGAGTTTGAATTCGTGCGTACGGAGGCACAGACGGCAGATTTTCTGACTAAGGTGTTACCAAGGGCTAATTTTGAGCGTTGCAAGAGAGAGGTTGGGATACGTACCTTGGCTGAATTGCAGGGGAGTGTGGTGCAGGCCTAGAGGTGGTTCAAGGTGAAACGTACGAGGGAGCGTGCATAAGCTGGTGGTTAGCAAACCACAGGGGAGATTGTTGAAGGTGGTTGGCTAACCATGACCTAGAACGACCTAACGCGATCTACATCGACCTAAGAAGAATTCGGTTTGACGAGCTGTGACTAAGGGAAAGCGAGGACCTAAGAAGAAGAGGAGCTACCTATGTTGGGACGGTGGAAGGAGAAACACGGTAGCGGCGCGACCTGCAGTGGGAATCGAAGAGAAGGAGGGGAAGTGTGCAGAAATGGAGAAGAAAACAGCTGAAATGTCGAGATTCCAAGCGACGTGAAGAGAAGTCACGCCGGGTCAAAGGCGCGTCCAAGGAAGTCTGATTCGAACTCGAGGCGCGTTCGGTGCATGGTTGGATTTGGAAATTGAGCCGAGTACAACTCAGCTCGAAATTAGGCGCGGCGCGAGGGCGAAATCAGAAATCCTTTTGCTTATAACTTGCTTTGTGTTTTCTGTTTTTGCATGCCTTCTTCAATGAAATTACTTGAACTTTCTGCCTTGGCGTTTTCCAGCAAATTCCTTCACACAGTTGGGGCCAGAGCTTCATATGCTTGTTACTAAGACTCTAAATAGTCTTCATGGTCTAGACTAAAGGCTGCGCACGTACGAGAGTCCTGTGGCATGTCATTTCAGCCTTCAAATCTTCCCATCTTTCATTTGTCTTCTTTAGTTTCATCTTTTCCCATGCTCCTGCTTTCCCGTCTCCCTCTCTCCCTCTCCCTCTTTCCCCATCCCGTTCTTCCCCTCTTAACCCTCCTCCCAGTGGCGCGCTGCAAGTGGACTTCGCGTGCTCCTCTGCCTCGTCCGGAGGGGGAGGGGGTGGCGGCACTGGTGGGGGCGCGGGGGGAGGCACTGGCGGAGGTGGGGGCGACTACGGGGGTGACTACAACGGGGGGAACAATGGGGGTGGTGATTACGGTGGTGGTAGTGGCGGCGGTGATTCTAACGGGGGGAATGGAGGGGACTACAATGGTGGAGGTGACAATAATGGGGGGAGCGGTGGTGACTATGGGGGTGGCAGCGGTGGTGGGGGGAGTGGTGGTGGCGGAGGTAGAGGTGGTGGGGGTGCTGGAGGCGGAGGAAGGGGAGGCGGTGGGGGGGACTGCAGGAGAGGGCCTGGGGGCGGACGTGGGGGACCTGGTGGGGGACAGGGAGGGCCTGGGGGCGGGCAGGGGGGACCTGGGGGCGGGCAAGGCGGATTCGGTGGGGGACAGGGGGGATTTGGAGGAGGACAGGGCGGACCTGGGGGCGGGCAGGGCGGAACTGGTGCTGGGGGCGGGCAAGGGGGAGCTGGGGGCGGCAATGGTGGTGACTACAGCAACGGAGGGGGCTACAGCGGCGGCAATGGCGGTAATGGTGGGAGCAACACAGTCGGACAAGGCGGGTACTACAGCGGTGCAGGAGGAGGGGGAGGGGCTGGTGGTGCTGCTGCTGCTGGTGGGGGCTGTGGGGGAGGGCAAGGGCAAGGCGGGGGGGCTGGGAATGGGCAGGGCGGACCTGGGAGCGGGCAAGGGGGAGCTGGAGGAGGGCAGGGGGGACCTGGGGGGGATTATGGTGGGGGAAGCAATGGCGGAGACTATGGTGGTGGGAATGGCGCTGGTGACTATAGTGGGGGGAATGGAGGGGATTACAACACTGGTGGTGACTACAGCGGGGAGACCACTGGAGGGGGCAATGGTGGTGGCAATGGTGGTGACTATAACGGAGGGAGCTACACTGGGGACTACAGTGGGGATTACAGCGGAGGGACGGGCGGCAGTCAGGGCGGCAGTCAGGGAGGCCCATCTGGGGGCGGTATGAGTGGAGGCGGAGGCATGGGCGGCGGAGGCATGGGCGGCGGAGGCATGGGCGGCGGAGGCATGGGCGGCGGAGGCATGGGCGGCGGAGGCATGGGCGGCGGAGGCATGGGCGGCGGAGGCATGGGCGGCGGAGGCATGGGCGGCGGAGGCATGGGCGGCGGAGGCATGGGCGGCGGAGGCATGGGCGGCGGAGGCATGGGCGGCGGAGGCATGGGCGGCGAAGGCATGGGCGGCGGAGGCATGGGCGGCAGAGGCATGGGCGGTGGTGCTGCTGGCGGGGGAATGGGAGGGCCTGGGGGAGTGCCTGGCGGAGGAGGCATGGGGGGAGGAGGCATGGGGGGAGGAGGAGGCATGGGGGGAGGAGGCATGGGCGGTGGTGCTGCTGGTGGTGGCATGGGAGGGTCTGGGGGGATGGGCGGAGGCGGAGGGATGGGCGGTGGTGGGGGGATGGGAGGAGGCGGGGGCATGGGAGGGGGCGGAGGAATGGGAGGGGGCGGAGGAATGGGAGGGGGCGGAGGAATGGGAGGGGGCGGAGGAATGGGAGGGGGCGGAGGAATGGGAGGGGCCGGAGGAATGGGAGGGCCTGGGGGTGGCATGGGCGGAGGAGGAGGGATGAGGGGAGGGGGAGGGATGGGCGGAGGTGGAGGCATGGGGGGAGGAGGCATGGGGGGAGGAGGAGGCATGGGGGGAGGAGGCATGGGAGGGGGCAGGCCTTAGCGGTTCACAGTGGACAGGCAGGCAGGAAACCAAGTGCCTCAAGCAACTCAGTCTCAGTCAAGGCACAGAGGCGGAGAAAGCTGAGGGACAAGAAACTAGTGAAGGGAATGACCAAGGGAATGCCAATGGGAGTGATAAGGGAATGTCAAGGGCATGACCAGGGGAGGGGACTAGCCAGTGAATGGATGAGCTTTGATTCACCTCAAGCCCCATTGCACGTGCTGCTGAGGTGCATCAAAGCCCATCCTCCCACTCCATCCTTGTTTGTGATTTCTGGCTTTTTTGTTGTAGCTGGTTCTAGATCGTACTTCTATAGCTGTCTGCTTGTTCTTGAAGTGAGCAATTTATGTGTGTGCTTTCATCCATGAAATATGAATGCAATTACCTTATAAGTAATAAGTTTACACATGGTTGAATTACTTTGTCCCCGTCAGCACCAATTAAACTTGGTGGGAATGCAGGAAATGCGATACCGTAAGTTGCTCGCATTGCACAGAAACTGTACACGCTTCGACACGGTCCATGAAATCCTATTGTGAGCTTCAGAGCACTACATTGTAGCGAAAAAGCCATGGAGTGAGCTTTCTTTAGTTACCACCTGTAACCTCCTGCAGCCACTCGTACTTGGGCCACTTGGGTCCTTTATTCCCGCAGGCACTGGTATTCTTGCAGCACAGCACCCGGGAGTTGGGCCACAGCCAGGCTAGCTGCAGGCAGCGCATGACATGAGGCACATCAGCAGCTTTTGAGAATTCTCAAGAGTGACTCCCAAAGAGGCACATGAGCAGCATTTCATCAGCTGCAGTCACTGGGCCACTTGGGCTCGGCACACCAGCAGTTCATTCCTGTTGCATAAGATCCTGCAGTGATCCCTTTCCGCCTTTCTCCCTCACTCGGCTCGAAATCGCACCCTCTCATTGCTTGGCTTGAACACCTCTATCCCCTCTAAGAGCTCCCCCGATAGCCACTTCCACTTGCTCTCGTCGTCCAAGTACCCGATACAGTAATAAGTACACTCCGGCTGGTTGGGAACCTCGTCTTTTGTACCGCACCAGGGCGGCCACACGGCTGGCATCTTTTGTCTCAAGTGCCGCGTGGCCTTGCTGGGCTTCTCTACGTCGGCTTGAGTAGGAGGAGAGGAGCAGGGGTGGAGAGGCGGGGCTGTGATGCTGGTGCTGTCCTCTAGGGCACTGGTGGCGTACTTAGCGAGCAGGATGGCCCAGAAGAGACGCCGTCCCTCCCATGTGCAGAGAGTGCTGCATGAGGGGAGAGGATAAGAGAAGCCCGAGACGAAGTGAGGAATAGAGAAGAAAGTTGTGTGAGAGTGGGAGAAGTACCCTCAAGGGGGATCGGAGGAGCTGTGATGCACAGGGTGCTGCAGGGAGGAGAAGGATAAGAGAGGAAACAGGGGGGGAAAGACATGAGAAAATGGTTAGAGAGGGGGGGAACGACCCAGGGGCATCAGGGGAGGCGGAGCTGTGATGCTGGCGCTGTGCTCTAAGGCACTTTGGGGTACTTGACGAGCAAAATAGCCCAGAATAGCTGGCACCCCTCCCACGTGCACAGGGTGCTGCAGGATGGGAGCGGGATGAGAGAGCAGGGATGAGAGAGGAGGGATGAGAGAGGAGGGATGAGAGAGGAGGGATGAGAGAGGAGGGATGAGAGAGGAGGGATGAGAGACGAAACAAGTGTGGGAAGAAATGAGAGAAATTGAGGGGGAATGGTGCGGGGAGAAACTGCGATGAACCGGGCAAAGTTAGTTGCAGGAAGGAGAGGGTGTGTGGGGGAGGGGAAGGGAGGGGCAAGGAGACTGAGAAGACAACAGGGATGGAGGGGAGGAAAACGACCCCTATCACTGCATGTTGGTAAATGGGCGACTTACCTGGCAAAGTCATTTGCGGCAGCAACAATCTCTCGTGCCCCTTGGTTGTTGGCGCGGGCCCACTGGATTTGCGAGTAGGGGTTGTTGAAGTAGCGGTGGGTGGGCAGGAAGTGCTTCATCGGAAGTAATAGGTATCGGTTGTGTGACTTACCTGGCAAAGTCATTGGCAGCCGCAACAATCTCCCGTGCCCGTTGGTCGTTGGCGCGGGCCCACTGGATTTGCGAGTAAAGGTTGTTGAAGTAGCGGTGGGTGGGGAGGAAGTGCTTCATCGGGCACAGCAGCGGGTCGAAGAACTGATAGTACTCGCTGGCCTGGCGGATCAGAACCTGTGCGCACATCAGAAAAGGTGGAGGAAGGAAAAGGAAGTGAGAAGTGGCGGTGGGTGGGAAGGGTGGGAGTCATGTGGCACAGCAGCGGGTGGAAGAACTGATAGTACTCGCTGGCTTGGCAAATCAGAACCTGTAAACACGTTATGAAGGGTGGTGGAGGGAAGCAGGAGGGATACGGGTTGGAACAAGAGGAGGAGGAGAGGGAGGAGAAGAGGAACGAAGGAGGGAGGGGGGGAAAATGGGGTTGTAGGAGGATCAGGGTACTGCCATGAATGAGTAGGGCTTTTGACACATGTCAAGCACTCTGGTAGTGCTATCTGGCTTGGCAGATGAGTACATGTGGGGAGAGGAGAGAGAGGTGACACACCATGAATATGTGTGTGGGAGCGAGTGTTCATGAGAGAGGAAGCAATTATGGGGGAGAGGGGGGATGGGAAAATGGGGTGAGGAGCAAAATAGAGAGCATTACAACAGGGAGCCAAAATGAGACTACTTGAATACCTGATTGCTCGCCAGAATCCCACACGTCCGGCCGCTCCCTGTCCCGCCGTCCACATCCAGCTCATACTTAAACCCCTGCAGTTCCTCGGGCTTTAATCTCCCGCCCAGCCGCACCCCATCCGCCTCCAAGCTCTCACGCCATCTCACATCCACACCGCTCATGACGCGCGCGTCTAGCAGGTCCGGGCGGGCATCTGCCATGCGGTGCACGCGGAAGCGAGGGCTGGCGCGCCAGTGCATGGGCATGGCGATGTGGTAGTTTGTCATCCCGCCCCGGAACACCGCCCGGCCCTGCTTTTGCTCCCAAGGGACCTGAGGTGTGGGGGTGGGGAAAAGGGAGGGGAGGATAGTCCGTTAAATGAGGCTCTGATTTGCCCTTTGCATGGATATGAAGCGTTTGGAGATAGGGTGATTGATTGGAAACCGCACAATATTTACTGTGTTCGCTGAAGTATTCAAACACTTTTGTCCAGTGTACTCACCTGAACTGTACAGTGGAATCGGGGTAGCGAGTATCGAGGTTTCAGGTTTAGCGGCGTGCGAACTAACACTCACAGATCCGTGCGCAAATATTTCCAGCTGACCAACTTCACTTCAGATCCACTGCGTAAAATACGGTCGCACGCACCTTATCCTCAACGTCTCGGAAGTAGCTCTTGGACAGATCGACGGGGTCGGGATACGGAATATCGAGCGAGCCGGGGACGACGTGCGGACTGAACAAAGGCATTCCCGCGCGATCCTGCCGCGCGACCGAGTCCGCCTTGCTGGTTGGCAGATCGCATGTGTTTATAAACAGCTCCGCGTTCAGGCTGTACAGTTTATACGCTCTAATGGCGTCCTGGATCATTTTGACGGTAAGGACGAATCGGCGCATGCGGTACCAGTCGAACTGGAAAGCCCCCAGGCGGAAGAAAAGTTTTCCGCGCACGATTCGGATGTGCCCGGAGCACGATAGGATCTGGTCGGACCCAAGGGAGGGGGAGGGATGGTAAAGGAGGAAACGGAATGAGACTCGGGGGTGCCGGGAGGGAGGGGAGAACGGGGAGGGAGAGGACGGGAGGAGAAGGGGGTGGTAATGGGAGAATAGAAGCAGAAGACGGTCGAGTAAGAAAATCATGTAGTTAACAGCGTAGTAAGGAGAGGAGGGCGTGGCGGAATGCGAAATGAGAGCACCCTTATTGAAGTTTCGAGAACACGTAGCGCTACTATTGTCACCGTTATGCTCGTGATCGCCCTCACATACATTTGCCATGGTTCCCATTTGGTGCAGAATTTCCGCAGATATCATTCCCCGCGCGCCCATCCCCGCGGTGACGCCCGGAATGCCCATCCACGGGCGCAGGTAGTTGTGCGCCAGGCACGCCAACTTCCGCACGGTGGCGGAACCGCTGCGCGCGCTGAGTGCGGGGAACTCCGCCAGGTCCGCCACGCACTCGTCCGCGTCTGCGCGCGTGTCGGGGAAGCCGCACGAGCCCTGCCCCGACTCGAACACGCGGGGGAAGGCGGAGGAGGGGAAGCCAGCAGCGGCGGCGGAAGCGCCTTCCTCCTTGGTGGCGCCTCCGCGGCTGCGGTCGGCGCTGCTGCCGGCGCTTTTCACGGCGCGGATGGCGGCGGTTGGAAGGGACTGCAGGATTGGGGTCTCATCGGACTGGAAGCGCTCTAATCGTCTTCGAGGGCTGTCGTCAGGCTGAAGGGAAGTCGGGGATTCGGGGAGAGGAAAAGCGAGGATTGTGGACTCAGGGAGAGTTCGACGAGCCAAGAGGAGGTGACGGTGGAGCTACTTGACGGGAACACGCGTGGAGGACACGTGCACTCAAAATCATCGAAACGCGACGATAATTTCTCTACTTGCGTCACTTTTGAGATTTCTCAAAAGTGCTCAAACACTCGAGTGCGCTCTCTATGTCTGAACTGGTCCAGCTCGTTTTGAGGCCCCTATATTTGAGGAGCTAATTTGTAAAGCGCCTCAAGAGAAGTTCGTTGTTCGAGAGCGAGCCGCTCCACGGCTCAAGAGCGCTCACCATGTCTGTGAAGCGGTACAGCTCGCCGAGCTGCTGCTGGAGCGACCCTCATGTGTTTTTTATTCAATGATTCAGAAAACACAGTCGGGGAGATAAACTTTTCCTGAAAAATGGTGTGTTTGCGTCGAGTCAGTACAAAACTGTCAGAATGTTTCACGCGTCCTGTGATAAGTTCGAGAGCGCTCACCATGTCTCTGAAGCGGGACAGCTCGCCGAGCTGCTGCCCGAGATGCTGCTCAAGCTGCTGCCCGAGGGACCGTCGCCAGTGCGACGCGGCGAGCGACAGCCATAGCAGCAGCGTCACTGGCACTAGCGCATGCGAAATTCGCGACATACTCCGCCCCGTTAAGCGGCGAAGTGGTGAGCAGGGCCGTCGCATGGTTCTTGCTGTGGATGCCTAATGACGCAGCGATGCACCGGATGTTAGAGGTCTCCGTGCCTTTCACGTAAAGACTCTGCGAACTGTCTTGGATTAATGCCTGTAAGTCGCGACAGGAAACTAAAACACTTCTGAATTCCTACAAAACCAGGAGAGGTTTTTGTGTGGTGCTGACTGTCGTGCTTGTATCTCTAGGTGCCTTCCTGAGATGGGGCCCCATTCGGCCCCATCCGAAGTTCCGCGGGGTGCTTGTATCTGATGGGGGTTCGGTACTGTAGGTGCTATGGACCCAAACCGCGCGGCGCGCAGAAATTGCTTTCTGTTTCGTCGATATATTCGCGAGATTCTCACGTGTGGTTGCAGCTGGTTACGCCTATGCGAACTGTGCGGAGACAGTCACATTTCGCGGCGTCTGCTTTCGTTCTGCATCACTTTCTTTCGCCGTGCAGCCACTCGGTCTTGTAGTGCTGCCAGCCCACACGCAGGGGGATAGCTGGCGATTCAGGTGCTGGGGTTGTGGCGAGCCTGGCCCGACCGAGGTGTTTTGTTTGTCATGGGATTGAGGTGGGGAATATGCCAGCCTGCCCACACTTGGCCCCTCACTCCTCACCTTCACCAGCCTACCTCCACTAGAAGACCGCGCGATTGCTGGTAAAGATGAGATCGCCTTGCCCCATTGACTAGTAGGTTATATATGGCACATGTATGTTCCAACTGTTGAGTACTTCCCCTAGGTTGAGAAGAAAATTATAGCATAATCAACTTAAGTGAAGCCCAGTTACAGTATTGGCATGCACTGTTGGGAATAAATATATCATTGTGGGTAAACCAGAAATCAAAACGTAGATGCTTAGGGCGTGTTTTTACGACATCATATTGGGCGAACCTCTAATCAAAATTGTGTCCATCAAACAGAATTTCCCTTAAACCCCAGATTCTTTACCATGCCTGCGACAAGTGGGTGGTAAATAAGCCCATGCTTTGATGTGACAGGCTTCAACACATTGAACATTAGGAAAATTCTGAAAACCGACAGTGCTTCATGATACAATCTGAAAATCGCTAGAGCTCAGCGGAAGGCTCTAGGGGAATAGCGACGTGTCAGATGTTGTAGCTTGTAGTGAGGTTTGTCTTAGGGGGTACAGATGTTAGGGTTTGTTATATGTACCCCAACCCACATCCATGAACCAACACTTCTAATCTTGACATGGTATCACCTAGGTTAAGATCCTGTAAGATCCCGCATCTCTGGTCCTCGTTCGTTCCGCCCGAGCCTGTCTCGCTCTCTCGTACTAGTCGTACCCATCTTGCCCAAGCCTAGCGCCGGCCCGATCCAATCTCGCTCGTTCATTAGCGCCGGCCCGATCCAGTCTCGCTCGTTCGTTAGCGCCGGCCCGATTCAGTCTCGCCCGTTCGTTAGCGCTCGCTCCGCCGACCCGCTTTCCGCGTGGCGTAGTGCCTCCCCCCCCCTGCCCGTTGCGTCGTGTTCTCCCCGGCTTCCCGTCCCGTCACGCCCTCCCCCGCTGCTCGTCGCGTCGCGTCCTCCCCCCGCTGCCCTAAACGCCCGCTCGTCGTCGCCGCGGCGTCCCGTATTTCGTCGCCGCGGCGCCTCGCGTTTCGTCGCCGCGGCGCCCCGCATTTCGTCGCCGCGGCGCCCCGCATTTCGTCGCCGCACCTACCCGTACCGCCCGCCGCCACGCCTGCTCGTTGGGCCTGGCCGCGGGCCCGCTCGTCCCGTCGCCGCGCCTGCTAGTTAGGCCCGCCGCGGGCCCTCCCTTACAGCCGTCGCGGGCCCTCCTTTAGAGCCGCCGCGCCTGCTAGTTAGGCCCGCTGCGGGCCCTCCCTTACAGCCGCCGCGGGCCCTCCTTTACAGCCGCCACGCCTGCTAGTTAGGCCCGCCGCGGGCCCTCCCTTACAGCCGCCGTGGGCTCTGCCTTCCAGCCGCCGCGCCTGCTAGTTAAGGCCCGCCGCGGGCCCTCCCTTACAGCCGCCGTAGGCCCTCCTTCGCACCGCTGTGCCTACTCGTTCAGGGACCGCCCCTAGCCGTCACGGACTTGCCCTAGCCGCCTACCGTCCCTACCAGTGCCACTCACCGCCCGCCTTGTCGCTTCTACTTACACTATGGCGACCCCTAGGGTTCTTCGCTGCGACGCTGACGGTAGACCGCTCGAGTTTCCGGTCTGGCTCCTACGTGCGCGTCGCCTCTTAGAGAGTCAGGTTCAGGCGGGTGAGTCCCTTTGGGCGCACGCTACTGGTGACCTTCCTGCGCCCGACGACCCTACGCCTTTAGGCCCTGCCCCTGACAACGCCGCCAGAGACCGCTTTACCCGCCAGCGTGCTGTCCTGATGGCGTGGAAGTCGCGTGACGCTGCGGCCTGCATCGCTCTTAGCAGCCTCCTCCCTGAGTCTGAGGAGGCCCACTTCACTCAGGTTCGCACTACTAGTGAGTTCCTGACTGCGATCAAGGCCCGCTACGCTACTCCCACCACTGTCTCTCTTGGCCGCCTCTTCCTACCGTTCTTGTTCCCTGACCTCGCCTCGTTTGAGCGCTCTGCTGACTTGATTGCTCACCTCCGCTCGCTCGATTCTAGCTACCGCGTTGCTTGCACTGACGCACAGCTTACACTGCTTCCCCCTCCCATGGCGATTAATATCTACTTCATTGCCACTAGCCTCCCTGACCACCTTGCCTCGGTTCGTGACACGCTTCTTCTGAAGCACCCTAGTGAGCTCACTATCGAGGTCCTTGAATCTGCGCTCAAGGACGTCGAGAGAACCTCCGCTCCGTAGCCTCCGCCTCTGGTGCTGTGCCCCCTCCACTGTTTCACGGGTGCACTGTCCCTCAGCTGCCCACTTTCACTGCCTCACTAGCCACTTCCGCTGCTGACGTGACCGCAGCTGCTGTTACGACTTCGTCGCGGTCTCGGGGTAGGGGTGGCAAGAGGGGCGGTCAGGGTGCAGGTGGCGGCGGCGGTGGCGGCGTTGGTGGCGGAGGTGCTGGGGGTGGCGTGCCGACCGGTGGCGGCAGGAGCGCAGGGCCTGGAGAGACGTCTCGTGCAGCGGCCAGTGACTCCCCTACTGCAGCCGGTGGAGGCGACACCCGGCCTCGTCAGCCTCCTCCTGGTCTGCCGGCCACGGTGGATGGAGCAGCGGCGTGGTACCTGGCCCAGCGACAGCAGCAGGTGCAGCAGCAGCAGCCCCTCCCCTTGTAGCAACCCCCGCATCAGCAGCGGCAGCAGCAGGTTTCGGGGCCCGTACAACGTCAGCAGCAGCGAGGTGTTGTTCACCCTTCGTGCACCTATCAGGTTCTGACAGGTGCTCGCCGAGGCCAGCCTTGTGGCCGCACCCACCCTCCTGGTCAGTGCTTTGCTCAGCTCACTGACACGGTTCGCTTGGCCTTTGGCGTTGGCGGCCCTGCCCCTGACTACTTTCCTCTTGTTCAGACGTACGGCTCCGCTCTTTGGGGCATGTCTGCTTCTCAGTTGCTTGATCTCTAATGGTTGGGTACAAGTATGAAACCCTAAAAGGGGGCTGTACCCCATATTGGCTACCCCACTACAGCCTAAACATATATAGCATATATATATACTTTGACACACCCCCATAAGCAAAGTGGGGGAGAGAAAGGGGTCACAAGACCAATCAAGAGAAGCAAAGCAAGCTCAGGGTGGATCACAACGTCACCACACACACTGAGCACAAGCAAAGGGCCACAAGGCCAGTTCACATGCAGAGGTATATATGCAACAACAGCAGTACAGTGATCTCTACCTAGCAGAACAAGCATGCAGGTATATTTACATAGATCACAGTACAAGCAAACTCTACAGCAAGTGAGGAAAAGTGGGCACAAGGCCTAACAAAGTGCAGAAACGCTGATGATCACCAGACGGAAGTGCCTTGGTGAATATATCAGCAGTGTTAGCCCGAGTGGCCACGTGAGCAAGACAAAGCTGACCACGCTGCTGCAACTCTCGAGCCAGGAAGTAACGAAGAGCGATGTGCTTCGTTCTGTGCTCCAGTCTGTGCTCCTGACACAAGGCAATGGCGGCCTTGTTGTCGACGTACAGCACTGGAGGAGAATGAGGCCGCTCTCCAAGGTCGGTCAGCAGGTAGGTAAGCCAGCGTAACTCCTATGCAGCCATGGCTGTGGCGTAGATCTCAGCCTCACAACTGGAGCTGAGAACTGAAGACGAGCGTGTAGAACGCCAAGAAACTGAACCAGAGCCAAGGCTGAAGGTGTAACCCTGTGACGACCGCTGCGTAGCCTGGTCGTCAACCCAAGAAGCGTCTGAGTGCCCAGTGAGGACAACGTCGCTCCGTCCTCCAAGCACGAGCCCCATGCCCGATGTACTGCACAAGTAGCGTAGTACCCTCTTAGCAGCATCCATGTGCACCTTTCGGTGCCGACCAGGAGCCACGTAGCGAGCCAGAAGGCCAAGAGGGTACGGAAGGTCAGGACGAGTGCAGGTCATCAGGTACATGAGGCAGCCCACTAGCTCTGGGTAAGGACCACTCGGCTCTACGGACTCGTCCGAAGGTGGAGCTGAGAGTGAGTGACCTGTCGCCAAAGGAGTGGCCTGTGCCGAGGACCAGGTGAAGTTGAAGCGCTGAACGACCTGCTGCACCATGTGTGACCGAGTCAGTGTGATGGTGCGGCGTGCTCTGTCCCGGGTGATCTGCAAGCCAAGGTAGCTGCGCAGCTCACCCAGGTCTGTGCACGTGTGTCTCTTCTGCAGCTCCGACTTCACCAGAGCGAGAGCCTCAGTGTCAGCAGTGGCAAAGACCAAGTCGTCGACGTACACGAGGATGTAGAATGGCGGCAGCGAAGTGTCGGTGCGCAGAAACAGCGACGGGTCAGCAGTCGACGGAGCAAACCCAAGAGCCGCAAGTGTCGTCCTCAGTGTGTCGTGCCACTCACGCGGCGCCTGGCGGAGACCGTAGTCTGGCCACCG